CAAACTATTGCGTCATCACTTGCCGGATCAGACGAAACGTATTTTACCATTAAGAGCGGCGAGGAATTAATTAAGCATCTGCTTCCTCTCTCGTAACACTAACGCACTGTATGTTGCATCGAAGTTTCGCTGGCAAAAAGTTGACGTAGCTGACAAGTTGACATAGAGTGACCAAGTTTTTAATTCTTCCAGTCGATGATATAATATTGCATCGCGATGGTCGTTTGGTTATATCGGTGGTGATTACGTATGCATTGCGTGTCAAAATAGAGTATACTCGTATATCGAAAACGTGATTTTAGGAATATTTAGTGAATTAGAATAAGGGGAATAATAATTTATATATTTTTTAGTTAGTGTATATATTATAGTATGATACAGTTTAGTATAGTACAATACTAATAATATCAAGAAATAATATAAATTATTATATCAAAAACGTTATTAGATATTAATATAATACTATATAATACTATTATACAGTACCTAGTAATAATACTATTATTATATTACTACTATATAATACTATATATTAATATACATTTTTAGTTAGTGTATATATTGTAGTATGGTACAGTTCAGTATAGTACAATACTAATAATATCATAAAAAAATAATATAAATTATTATATCAAAAACGTTACTATATATTAATATATAATCATACATTATACAAAAATATATAAATTATTATACCAAAAGGACTATTATATATCATACTATACTAAAGCATTAGTGTAATATGTAATTGTAATATATTTTATATGTAAGGTATTATACTATGCCAATATGGTACTATAATATACCATATTATAATATAAACTCTTTTATTGTACATTATAGTTATATATATATATATATATGTACCAAGTATAGTAATATTTTTGGTATATACTATACACTACATTTAGTATAGACTGTAGTAACTATATAATACCGTATATTATATTATTACATTCACAATAATAACTACAAGCTATATTAAATCTAATAAGTATATACTATTAGTATTTTTACTAAATTGTATTTTTAGTACGTATAGAATTCATTTGGTAAGACAATCAAAATCCCGTATTAAATACTTATGCAAAGATTTATTCAATTGCTCTCAGTTTGATTTCTACATTTTTACATTAAAAGAGAAAATTTGAAAAATGAAATCATCCTGAATCTCTGTACCTAACCTATTTAAATTACTTTCATATTACGCCATATCTACGAATAAATCTAACATACAGAGTTAAAAACTTCAATAAAAATACCATGTAATTATTTACACGAACTTAAAAACCATTTTTAATATTATTCTATTGTCGATCTATTTTCCAAAAATCGATAAAAAATATCTGAGTGAAAAGCTCGAGTACGCGAGGAAACATAATGAAGACGTGACCATGGCTGCTATCGGGAACCCGGAATCTGGAATCTAGACAGGACGATCCACATGGAAACGTGGTGGCGAGTTTCCAGACGGCAGGAAGCAGCGGAAAGCAGGAAAGCGAAACGATCTGTCGCCAAGCGTGAAAACGAAAGGAATGCGTACTCAGCCGTGTATCCTCCGTCTGGCATCTCCGTACTGCGATCTTGCGCGACATCGTGGCTGGCTGCATCGCACGCGTGCAATCGCCAGTCTGAGGAACGGCTGGGATGAAGCCGTGTCGGTGGTGGGGGGCGAACAGCGCAGACGTCTCGCAATCATATGGCATGGGAGCTGACTATTTAGGGTCCTTTGAAACGTTTCGATGGTTTCTGCAAATTTTTGGAAAAAACGAAGTATCTCTTACATTAAATTTAGGGTCCTCTGAAACGGTAAATATCAATTTTGTACAAGTATTTTTTAAATTTTTATTGGACGAGGGTTAAGTGATCTAGTGGTCTGATACAATTGTGCAGAATTATTTTTGGAAATTTGTTATATATTCCTATGGAAATTGAAATTCTTGTATAAGGATTAATTTCTAATATATAAAAAAATAGTACCGTAGACAATTATATTTAATAAATATTTATAATTAATAATTCTGTATTAATTAATAAAAACTTGAAAAAAATTTATATAGCTTCTTCTCGACAGAGAAATTTATATACTGCTTTTATTTACAATGATAGAATGCTGTACAAGGAAAATAGACATTTTTATTTCGTGATTATAAAACCCACACTTTGAAAAATATTTTTTAATACGAAGTTCTATTAGCTTAGATAAGTATACTTGATACGCCGTCTCACTTGCTGAATAAAACGAACTTTTCTCGTTCCGCGTTATAATCTGTTTCAATAGCGAGATAAAAGAACGAAAAGCTCATATTTGGTGTATTGATGCCTTTTTAAATTCCGTTTCTCCTATGACGATACGGGGAGCGAAGCAAAATATCATAAGGCTAATTTCAAACATTCAGTATTTCCAGAAAAATATTCCTACAAATAATTCAAAAAGTAAACGTAAATATATACAAAATATACTTAAATATGAACTTAATATTACTAATATTACTAATATTACTAATATAAACAAATCATAAGAACACGTGGATAATTTCAAAAGCTCGATGATCTCTTAAAAAGAAAAAAAATTTTCTGAAAAATTAAACCGTCTCCTTAATAGGAATACTGCTTTAATTATGCGTTCGCTACATCTGAGGGTCGTTGCGCTGTTCAGGAACTCATGAAATTGCGGTAGATGTATAAGGGTGTAGTAGAATTAATTTAGCTGCTTGGTATGCATGTTATTCAAATATCTCAAGAATGTGTGCAAGGCTGAGTTAAGTATCATTGAAACATGGATTTTTTCGTACACCGAGTGTCTTGGATTTTATGCGAATATCTTGCACTTCGTATTAGGTTGTTCAGGAATAAATTCTGATTTTTAGGTATCATGTTTAAACTTGTATTGCTTTGCACAAAATGTACAGATTTAGAGGAAGTAAAGACCATTGCACCAGATATTTTCATACATAATATTGATATTTGTTGATATATTGTATTGAAATATTATCTATAAGAATATTAAATAAATTATTATATGTAATATTAATATATTTAATATTTCATTAATATATTTGTATATTAATTATTTATTATATTTTAATATTACATATTTGTATATTCATGACATTTATATATTAATTATATATTACATATTATACATATACATTTCAAATTATTTATATTAATACAAAAATCTAAAATTAGTAAATTTATAAGCAGTTACAACATAGTTCATGCTATAACAAAGTTTAATCAGAGCTGCACTATGCATTCACTAATTATATTTCTTTTATATATGAAATATGTGTTAATGGTCTACATTTCCAATAGTCTGCTGCCTTATATTCCATTTTCCAACTCGAATAAAAAATGTAGAACAAATTAACTTCTTTTTCCTTGCTACATCGTCACAACAACTGAACACAAAACACAGAAACTTCACCATTAAACTACAGTATGATAGCTACTCCTTAAAATAGTATATCGTCTAATAAACTTCGATTCAGAATAATACAGGTTTATAATTTATAATACAATTTATAATATAATTTTATACTAAAATTTATAATACAGGTATACAGTCATAAAAATTAGATTACCAAAAAAATCAATTTATTTTCAGATAACCAAACATCAATAAAGATAAAAAATATAAGGACAGCAATATAAATAGTATAAAGATGTTTTATTCAATATTTTCAACAGAAATGAAAAAACCTGATGGATAGAATGTATAATTTCGTGGCCGATTAATTTACATTCAAAACGCGAACAGAGTTACAAAAACTGTCATACAAGGTTTCCAGATGTCTAGCGACAGTCCACGGTCAGTTGGCCGAGTTCTGCAAGATATAGAGCCAGAACATAGTACAGGTCTCACGATAGAACGCTGTGTACAATATCCAGGAACAGTGTATACAGACTGTCTGCAAACAATGCCTGTAACTCTGTACATAGTTAGTCTCTATAATACACGTACAATAATAGCAAGCAAAGTTTAACAAGTTATCCTCTTGCACTTGTATCAATTTGTCACGTGCTATTAGTGGTTTGTATCGACGTTACAATATCATTGTTCAGTTTAGGCAATTTTCGAGCATCGTTTTCCTTATTTTTCTCTGAATAAAATGACCCTTTAAATGTCTTTAATTTTTATTGTACTTTAGTTCGTGTTATTATTATTAATGTAATAATTATAGCTTAGAATTTTGAAAATAATGTTTTAGAACAACCAAGAATATAAAAAAGAAATGAAGATATTATATGTTATTATTAATATAAAGTACAAAATTATTGAGATTATGGGTAAAAAGAAATAACTATCTGTATTTTATAATTTATTCTCTCCTAAGGGAGGTACATCTCAAGTATTCGGACCCCCTAATTCTTATCTAACGTGTGAAATAAACACTTAACACGTTCCCGGTGTTACGCGAAAAAAATTGTTAAAAAAATTTCTTTTTTAATAATAAAACAGGTTTATTAATATATCACACTAGATTCTTCTCAACTCTAACACGCAGTCCTCTATTCTCGACTACACACCATCTACTGTATGTCTCGCGCCCTTGCATCCCTATTTAAAGCCAGATCTATCTCATTCTTTACACCTACGCTTTCTCTCTCAATCAATCTACAGACATTCCTACAAAAGGATTTGCCGCTTTCATTTGTTTTTCCCACGCCAAACACTCGAGTCGAACCCGATCTTATATACACCGTTGTCATCGCCTGACGTTAAGATGGGGCAATCCTTATCTACTCATTACACCCGGAACCTCTTCGGCGCATAGATTAAAGATATATCTATGTCTCTTGACAAATTAATTTTTGTATATTCGATACGTTAAGACGTATTCTCTTTTTTCTTTATCTTAGCTCTTCCAAAATATTATTTTCAAAATTCAAAGCTAGGAACAAATATCATATAACAAAGATCTGACCCAATATTAAAACCTTTTACAAAGAAAACGTAACATTTCAATAATTATTATTATATTATAATAAATATTGTGCCATGATTATTAAGAATATGCAAACGGTTATTTCCACAGAGATTAAAATCGGCGCGCCATCTGCAAATTAAAAGAAATTTGAATAATCAATGAGAACAATCACTGGTATGGAATATAATTAGGAAATAACGTTAAACTAATAAAACGTGAAATAATCATAATTATAAAATATAACAACGTTTACCTCCGCATTTTTGAATATATTAATCCTCTATAAAATAAAATAGGACAATCATGTATATGTCATTAAAATATTTCACGTGTAATTTACTTTCAATCTAATTATCGCCTCGTTACTTAATTTTCCACGTATTAAAACAAACGAGCATCCATCGAGTGCAAAGGGTTAATACCGGCTCGCGAATAAAAGATTAATACAGATAGAGGCATATATTTATCGGTCCATAAACTCGCGGCACGTTGATATTTTGCAGTAACACGTTCCTATTTGGACGTTTCTATCGCACAGGCCGTAAATGAAACGAATACCCGGGTTCGAGAATAATCGGGACATTTTAATATCACGTTGCACACCTTATAAGTATTTACTGCTACCGATGCGAGTTCCATAGATTATCTTTAACGACTGGCGGCAGTAAATACAGCTTGACATATAGATGAAATAAATATCGTCGATCTGTTTTCAATCCATAATGCGCCGCTGGCAAATTGTTACGCCTTTGCTTATACAACATCGATTTTCCATCTGTATACATTTTAATCCTCGCCGAACGGTTCACGAATCAATTCGTCTTCGAACGTAACTGCATCTATAACCTATGACCAAATACATTTAGTCCACAGCCGTACGGTAATTCAACTGGTAATAATAATTAATCGATATGTAATTACCGTGTAATTGTCAGCGTCGATTAAAATTCCAATTGGACAGGAAACTCGAAACAGTTTGGACGTGGAAGATTTCACACGCTCTTTCCAACGTGCTACCTAACCTCTTCCTATGACAGAACACGCTGGAAGCTGCAAGGACGTTTAATATTCGTAGAAGTAATTATTAAAGCACCTTGATTGGATTACGATCACAGATGAGATCTCACGGTGGGAGGATCAGACGTGTTGCACAACCGGTCTGGAACGATGCGTTTGTAATCTGATTAGAATCAGAGAAACGGGGCGTATGATCGCGCAGCGCGCGAAGCGAGTCGATTCCCGTGTTAATTGGTCGGTGTATCGCTAGGTGGCTGGCCTGAGGGGTGCCGGGACACGTAGTTCCGACTGTGGCGGAGGCAAGGCGTTCAGTTCGCTTCGCTTCTGGACAGGAAACGAGCAATTAAGTGGCCAGAGCGAGCTTATCTCGCACGAGAGACGAGACAGCATGCAAGAGGCTCGGCAGCGTGGTCCTCGGCTCGCTCCGTGTAACCGTGAGTGTGACAAGGACGGACCGAGGCGGCCGAGAGTGGGGGAGAAAAAGGAGGTCGTAAACTCGTCCACGAATCGGCACGAGACCCGTGTGGATCGCGCGTGTGAGCACGAGCGCTGTGTAAAACGATCGTGATTGGAATGCCATAAGAGTCCCGATCCTATGCCTACGAACCCTCTCCGGCCCTGGTGCAATAAAATCGGTGATTTAGTTGGAGCCGTGCGCCAGGAGAAATCGAATAATCGAAGATGTGTAAAATTGATTTACCATGTAGATACGTTGAACGAGATAAGAGATTTTCTTGCGTCCCGGTTTTGAATTTCCAAGGCGCCATTTATTGGCCACCACGAGAATCCCCCCCCCCCTTTCTCTTTTTTCGCCCGCTCTTCGTTCATTGTCGTTCGCACCGGGTGTCAATGATAAATCCGTCCGGCCGCGACTTTATGCTTGCAACAAATTTCGCGCCACTGGCCGCTGCTGCGCGCGCTTGTATTTCACGCGGCACGTCGAACGTGCTTCGCCGTTTGCCGCACGCCGCGCCACCTCTGTCTCGTGAAACACAGGCCATGCTAACGTTCGCGTCGTTAAGAAACCAGAATTTCTTGAACAGCGATAGTCCACAGCGGTATTTCTCGTCAAACAGAGGGAACGGTCGGGACTTGGATTTTTATATCGCCGTGATACATTGATTGTTATAGTCGCGGCCACGATACGCGGATACTTGTTTCCTTCGCGTGTAATATGTAACGCGGCGTGTCAACGGGACTCGATCGAGTTGTCGACGAAAGGTAGGGTTATGTTTAATTCCGAGTGATAAATTTTTTATTTTAGTAAATGTTTGGTTACTATAGTTTTATGGCTTTGTTTTTAATCGTCAAATTTGGCCCCATTCTAAGTATGAATATTTTTATATATTTCTTTGAGTTATTTGAAATCATTATGAGACTCACTCTGTATATTATATTATTATGATACATTAAATAGCACGTGTCAAATATTTCTTTTAAAAGAAATATATTTTATTAATGATTACTTGCTATTATTGATGTTTTCATTTAACTAGTAATTGTTAATAAAATGTATTTATTTTAAGAGAAATATTCGATATGTGTTATTTAATGTTTTATAATAATATAATATATAGTTTCAAGTAACTCGAATATTATTTTTTATATCAAAAAATTTAAAAAATGAAAGTTACGACACTTCCGATAGAATATATAGTAATTAACGTAATTAATCTTACGTTATTTCGCCTATATCGGGATGGCGAAGATCAATTCTAATTTTTTAAATAGTACGGCTAATGTTTCTTTCCGAATTTAGATAGAACATCAAATTATATATAAAAATGTGTTATGCAACACTATACAACAATATTAAAACTTACATAGAATGAAATACAAGATTACATTACATACAATTTTTTAAAAATACAATAAATTTGAAAGTGTACAATTTTTAATAAAATTATTATACAAATACTGGTAACGTTTAAAGAAAATTCCTTAAACTTATAAATAAATAGTAAATAATGCTCTTTGGTTTTTAAGTATAAGACAGTGTCCTTAATGTACTAAATATAAATGACACGTTAATTAGAATTACACAATTAATTACACAACTTTAAAATGGTAAAAAGTAAAAGATTAAAACTCAAAGAAATTAATTTTCCTTTGAAATAAAAATATTAGTATTTTCTATTAAAAATACCTTTTTGACCAACCTGATGTTATAAAAATATATATAAAGGTATAAGAAAGCATAAAATATGTAAAAAAAAAATACATCATCGAAAAAGCAAGAATTAAATAAAAGAATAATATATTATAATAAATAAAAAAAAATAATTTGTTGAAAAGACAAAAATCAAATAGATGCACAATATGTTGGAGTCACAAACTGTAACAGCGTTTCCAACAGAACGTTTCAAACGAAGAGAAAGTCGAGTTCAAACAATTTCCATTTTGTTAGACGTATTTGAAATGTCACGGGTCCATTATCAGCAGAAAATAATTGCATTTCCGTCATTGGACCATATGAGGTCTGCTGTCGAAATTACAGAAATTAAATGTCGCTATTTTCGGATTATCACGTGTCAAATACGATTCCGTTCGTCAATTAAGCAAAAGCGGTCTCTAATGGACGAGAATCAATTGAAATTTAGTAAACGAGGCAGAACTAACGATCGGCAGCTGGACGATAAAACCGTCTAATCCCGTGGAATTACGGGAAAATCTGTTCCGAGAGATTCCATATCTGCGAAATCTAACCAAGATAAACAAATCGGATTACGCAAACCGATCGGTCGTTGCGAACCATTTCGAAGAAATCCCCAACGAATGGAACGGAATTAATCCTGGAAATAATTGCCTCGCTACGTAAGAAGCGGTCCTTTGTTACCTAGCATTACATTGTTACGTTTGCTTTAAATGACGAATGTTAATGTAACAGCACTGAAATTAAATTATATAATTTTTCGAGAATTTTATAATTTATATTTTACTGCAATACAATTTACAATATTTATAGCATCGTGGGATACTATTTTTAGAATAACAAACCGAAAACTGGCCAATACCGATGCAGGGTCTTATTTTAGGGAAAAATCGAAAATCTTCTAATATCGTTATGGAAGGCTGTTATTGGGATTGTGGGTAAAAAGAAAGAACTATATTTATTTTATAATTATCTTTATTTTATCCTAAGAAAGGTATATCTTATGTATTCTAACTGCTCGCATGGAGAGTCAAAACTAGAGCGATGAAAAAGGGTATTCGATTGCAGCTCGTCTTGGTCCCCTAATTTTTATCTTACGCGCGAATCTCTGGTGCATAGATCAAAGATATATCTATTTTTCCTAAGAGATTGATTTTTTTATATACGTTAAGACGTATTTTATTTTCAACAGCTGTTTTTAGAAACAAGCTAGCTGAGATGCGCGGTCTTTGCGTGGGGTGAAACGCAGATCAGTTGAATCGTAGTTTCAAAAGGGGCAAATCGCGAATTGGCACGGTGACATAATTTTCACGGGGGAAAATCGGGCATAAAAAATAAAATAAACAAAATAAAAGTGGGTATAAAAATAGGACCCTCGACGACACAGCGAGAGTCCTGAGTGGAGGAGCCTTGAATAATCCTCGTGAATATAGTTTGTGATAACATAGTTTTTAGGCATCCTACATTATTATGATAGTTCCATTATATTTATAGTTTATATTGTGTTTACATCACAATTTGTATTTATATACATCACGATCAATTTATATTATATATATAAATTGAAATTAATTTAGTTTATATTAATTACATTCTCATTTTTATTTATTTAAAAAGATTTACAATAAACATTTTCAATTAATTAGTTCTGACTATAACTTTATATAGATTTTACTCGTTAATTGATAAATAAATATTTAATTTTCACACTAACTCGAAACTTTCAGAACTACGTATTAACGTTTTCCAATTCTTATTTCAGCTTTTAATCGCAATATAACGTTTCATTACTGTGCCATTATCTCGGCACCAAGTAGGCTATTTATAGTAATTATTAGCTACCAGTTTTTAAATCAAAGGAGGAGACTATAATCAACTATAATTTCTTTCTTCTCGTAACTAAATGAAATTCAAAGTAATAGGCGATTAATATACGAGAAACTGAGTATAATCTAAAATTATATGTAGCATAAGAGGATTCATAAATATATTGAAGCATAAAAAAGGTCTTCAAATTTAAATCCTTCCTCCCTATCGCTTATTATGTTTACTCATACCTCAGGAATAGGTTATATGATTTTTAAAAACGTATAATTTTTAATAAACACGCTTTACAACACAAATATAATTTTAATATAATTATAATATCAATGCAAGATTTGTTCTAATATTTTCTTGATTGACGTTTTAATAAAAAAATTTTAATCGTTCAATGGGCCACTTTTTATTTCAAAGTATCTTGTAATTAGAGGTTATATTCAAAATGCCCTAACTGTCAATTTTCATTCAATTTTTACAATTGTAGTTTTACAAGTAATACAAACGCTTCGGTCACCAATGACCATCATGGCGTCAGAGGAGAAACCATGGCCGGTCATATACGACCAATGTGTCAGTTAAAGTGTTAAGCATTATTAATTGAATAACTTAAATATAATGTAGTAATTTTATTTTTCTAATTCCTCGAAGGTTCCAACAAAAATATTCCAAATGCGTTTCACTTTGATGCATTAGACGTTAATTACAAATTAAAAATGGCCAATTCCACGTACCATAAAGGAATAAACCCTTTAACCCTGTTAATCAGATACTAAAGATCGATGTTAATTGATATATCAAATTTAAAATTACCCAACGATGCGTAGAATGATAAGTAAAATAATTCGACGTCTTAATTTGCATATGATTTCGTATTTTAAAAATATTATCGACTTTATGGCAGAAAGTCTTCGAATTACTACTTTTCTGTAATGAAAAAATTGCCGAGTCAAAGAATGGATTTTACACGGAATTACACGGAATATATAATAAATAATTAAAAATAACAAATTGAAGGAAAGTTTCTAAATTAAAGAATACCAACAGCAACGTTGGAAATGCTAAAATTATTTGTCGTTATAATCCAAGCAACGTTCACTCTAAAAAATAAAATAATTTCCAAGTATATCGCTGCATTCGTTTCCAAAGGGTTGATATATATCCTGCATACATAACGCAGTATTGTCATCAGCATCCTCCAAACGCTCCAATAGAAGCGTACCAAACGCGTCT